CTAACCCTAATCTATCTTTTAAAATTTTTGGATTCCATAATATAAGTCCAACACATCTATATATATCTTCGAATCATTCATTCATCCATATATTTTAATACATTATTACCAACATCAACATCATCGTTATCATTTCAATTAGTCGATCGACAGCGAATATGAACAAAAACATCATATATTCATAAAAAAAATATTCATATACAAACCAAGTCAAAATAAACAGGGATTCCACCGCCACACCAATCACATCTTAAAAATAACCCACAAAATAAGAACCACACCAGCTCAGCTAGTAATGCCAACTTAAAACTTGACATCTTCAACTCCTAAAATATGGGTCCATGATTAAAATAAGGTTAGAATCCACGTGCTAGCTTGACTGTGAGAGAGCTGAGGGGAAGCACACAGGAAAGTGCTTATTGTTGGTTCATCAGATCGATGAGTTTTAAGGTCTAAAATGGTGACCACAGGAATCTGAAAGACGTGGGGTTGGCGACACATCCGCCGACCCTTTCTCGCCTCTGCCAGCTGCTCCATCCCAACACATAACCCATTAAATTATGGCTTTCAACTCATACCATCCACATTCTATTCTACCCAACCCCCTTTTTTTTTTATTAAAACTCATTCATCTCTTTCCCCATGTTAATTGATTATGGACGCCTACGTTGTCCGTTTTGGCTTGTTGCGTATTGTTGTTGGTCTCAAGGTTTTAAAACACGTAAAAAAAATAAGGAATGTTTTGTTCCCCTGTCCAACTGATGTGGGATCTCATAGTTCACCCCCTTGGAGGCCAGCGTTCTCTCCGACACACTGCCTAATGACTGACTCTGACACCCTTTGTAACAATTCAAGCCCACCGCTAGTAAACATTGTCCCGATGTGGGATCTCATAGTTCACCCCCTTGGGGGCCAGCGTTCTCACTGACACACTGCCTAATGACTGACATTGACACCCTTTGTAACAACTCGAGCCCACCGCTAGTAAACATTGTCCGTTTTGGCTCGTTAAGTATTGTTGTCAACCTCATGATTTTAAAACACGTGACAAAAATAAGGAATCCACCTCCCTTTCCTCCAGTGTCGGACACATGCTAGGTGACTGGATCTGATATAATTTGTAACAACTCAAGCTCACCACTAGCAAATGTTGTCCATTTTGACCTGTTATGTTTTACCGTCAACCTCACGGTTTTATAACACGTGAAAAAGAATAAGGAATTCATTCCACTTGGGGGCCAGCGAGCGTCCTCATTGGCACACCTCCTGGTGACAGACTATGATACCATTTGTAACAGCTCAAGCTCACTGCTAACAAATATTATCCACTTTGGTCCGTTACATACGTATAGTCGTTAGTCTCACGGTTTTAAAACGCGACTAGTAGAGACAGGTCTCCAAACCTTTATAAGGAATGTTTCGTTCCCCTCCTTAACTAATGTGGGATCTCACACTTCTAATCTCAACCGTACAACTAGTTAAGTTCACTAAAAAATAAATAAATAAATAAATAATAATAATAATAATAATAATAATAATAATAATAATAATAATAATAGAGGGTTATAATTGAAAACAAGTCAACAATGAGAAGGGAATTTTTTATATAATATAAAAACATAATTGGATTAATTAGAACCCCTACAAATAGGGTCAAGAAAGTACGACGGTTGTGTATCCTTTGAGTACTTTTAAAGCACTCTTCAATACTCTCTTTTCTCTGCCTCTCTCAATGGCACTTGCAAACTCATCTGTACATGAAGCCGATGGCATGGACAAAGCTGGTGGATATATCAAGTCTATACCCATTGCTACCCATGACACTCCAAATGCTACCTTTCTCTTTCGAAACACGACGAATTACCAACTCGATCACCATCAGCAGCAGCAGCAGCAGCAGCAGCAACTGCCTCATTCTCTCATCAACTTCAAGTGTGGGATTGACAGTATCTTCCATAAGAACAATGAATCTTTGCTGAGCTTTGAGCCACAAGGGGTTTGTCAAGACACTTACAATTGGGATGATCACCAGCGTTTGATGGAAGATCCCAATTGCTTTCAAACAGCTACCAATGGTTATTCCTCTCCAAAAGAGAACAAAAATGGTGATGGGTCTGTGTATGATTGGCTTTACTCTGAAGCAAGTGGTGTTTCTGATGCCATTCAGGAAGCTGAAGGAGCTCACGAGGTTGCCAATCAAAAGCGACCTCATATGGTATTGAATTCCAAAGTTTTCAATTGTTGTTTTCTGCAATAAGTTTAAAATTTTTTTTTTTTCCTTTTTGTTGAGAAAATGTGAGATTCGTATCGATTGGGGAGGAGAACAAAACATTCTTTATAAGGGCATGGAAACCTCTCCTTAGTAGACGCGTTTTAAAAACCTTGAAGAAAAGTCCGAAAGGTAAAATCAAAGAAGACAATATCTACTAGCAGTGGGCTTGAGCCGTTACAAATGGTATCAGAGCCAGACAACGGATGATGAGCCAGTGAGGAGGATAAGCTCCAAAGAGGGGTGGAAAAGAGGCGATGTGCTAGCAAGCACACTAGGCCCTAAAGGAGGTGGATTGGAGGGTCCCACATCAATTGGAGAAGGGAACAAGTGTCAGCGGGGACGCTGGCCACAAAAGAAGGTGGATTGTGAGATCCCACATCGATTGGGGAGGAGAACAAAACATTCTTTATAAAGGTGTAGAAACCTCTCACTACAAAAAAGGACAGGCTGGGGTAGAAAATGTTTGAATTCTTAACTAAATTACAAGTTTTTTTATTTTGAAAGTTAGCTTAGAAGAAGTGTTTGATTGATTGATCGACTGACAGGGAGAGAGCAGTGGGAGTGTTAGTAAGAAGCAATGCACAGCAGCTGCAGCTAAGAAACAGAAACCCAAATCATCAACAGCAAAGGATCCACAGAGCATTGCAGCCAAGGTTTTAGTTTTGTTTTTCTGACAACGTTGGCTTACAATTTAAGGAACAAATAATTTTAAGGTTCTGAAAGAATGTCTGCTTTTGTCTTTGTTTTTATGTTTCTTAGAATCGACGAGAGAGGATTAGCGAGCGGCTGAAGATACTTCAAGAATTGGTTCCCAATGGCTCCAAGGTGCTTACTCTTATCTAATATTAAAAACATCTTCATATCTCAATACGCTCCGTTCCTTCGTTCTAATAAAGGCAGATCTTCCTCTTAACTAGCCAATGTGAAACTCCAAAAATCTCTTCATCTTAAATAGTCATCTACTCGTCTAAACACTATCCAGTGTCGGCTCCTTTCAATCAATCTAATAGATCTCCTTCATGCATCGTTTCTATGAACACACCTTCGAGACTCACATGTTTATTTATTTGACACCCACCCAAGAATTCTATGTGAGATTCCATATTGATTGTAGAGGGGAACGAAGCATTCTTTATAAGGGTATAGATATCTCTCGGTAGGTGGGCTTAGGCTGTTATATTCCATTACTAAGTTATGGATATGATTCTGATAGGACAAGTGATCTTGTCCACGTTGAATATATACTCTCGTAGTTTTGCTTTTGATTCCTCAGAAACTTAACTTTCTCGGAACTCTACTCTTTCAGGTTGATTTGGTAACGATGTTGGAAAAAGCAATTAGTTATGTAAAATTTCTTCAACTTCAAGTGAAGGTACAAATTCCATATCACTCTGTTTCCAAATTTTGGATAAAGATCCTTCCTTCTTGGCTCTGATATCATAGTAAAAATTTTGAATATCAGATCCTAGCTACGGATGAGTTTTGGCCAGTTCAAGGTGGGAAAGCTCCTGATATATCACAAGTTAAGGAAGCCATTGATGCTATTCTTTCATCTCAAAGAGAAAGAAGTTCAAGCTCAAACAGTCAAAAATGATGGAATCAGTAGACATAATTTGTATGAGAACAGTTTAGAGCACTCAATAATTCAAACCCATGAATTAATAAACCATTCTGATAAAGAAATGACAAAAAAAAACGACAAGATTTGGATCAGAAATTAATGCTGTTCCTTAAAAAAATGAAGCTGGAAATGTTGTTCTACCCAGTTATGAACTACTCAATGAAGGCCTCACTTGGAGATCTGTTTAGAAAATTTTGTTTTTTAGAGGAGAATCTACCAGCAAATTATATGTATATCTTCTGCAGAATTTCATACAGGCGATTAAATGAACAAAATTAAGTCTGTAATGATCTACAAATAATTAATGCACAGATTTGGAAGATTTAGGATCTTCTCCATTAATAATATATTAAAAGAAAAATGACAGATTATACAAATAAAATTATTAGATACATGGTGTTCTTGTAAACATCGATAAATTAAAATAAAATAAAAATACATACAGTTGGATTTCCAAATTCTTGCTCAAGAACATATTATACATTGATTTGTGTTAGTTAATGATTTAGATTTCATAGCTTAGAAACGTCTCTTTGAATAAATATCTCCTTGTATGATTAGATATCTTCTAAAAAAAAAAATGATTCTAGGTAAGGAGGAGAAAAAAAAATACCTCGAGTCAATATTCGAGTACTGGACGCTACATGCTGAAGTAATCCATGTCATACTCTCAAGAAAAGCTTAAACGACCTTCAGCAAAAGAGTACCTGTATTGTGAGATCTTACATCAATTAGAAAGGGAACGAATGTCAGCGAGAACGTTGTACCTTGAAGGAGGGTGGGATTGTGATATCTCACGTCAGTTGGAGAGGAGAATGAAACATTTTTTATAAAGGTGTGGAAACCTCTTATAGTACGCATTTTAAAAGCCTTAAGAGGAAACTGGAAAGGAAAAGCTCAAAGAAGACAATATCTACAAACAGCCGAAACCCGTAACCAATACAAACGAATAGGTAGAGAATACCTTGAGAATTAGTTTATTGATCCAAGATTTCATTAAGTCTTAACCACGAGATGAACTAAATCATTACAAATTTTACCAAGCTTCCAAACTTTGTGTTTATGCATCATATTCAGTAAAATTTGTCCAAGTCCATTACCCTCGCATTAAAGAACAAATCTTTGTATTGCACGCAAGAATGGACTGTGAAGTTGAAGAGAATCCAAGAGCGAAGGTCAGCATGAACAGTCCAGATCAGTTAAGTTGTCATTCTATGACGAGGAACTAACAATAAGTTAGTCAGTATATTAATGATTGTGTGCATGTACTACCTACGGTTGAGAATTATTAGGAGGGGAGTCCCACATTGGCTAAATAAGAGGATGATCATGAATTTATAAAGAATATATCTCCATTGTTAGGATGAGAGTTTATGCTCAAAGTGAACAATATCATACCATTGTGAAGAGCCGTTGAACAATATCATACCATTGTGAAGAGCCATAATTTCTAACATGGTATCAAAGTCATGCTCTTAACTTAGTCATGCCAATGAAATCCTCAAGTGTCAAACAAAGAAATTGTGAGCCTCGATAGTGTAAGGTGACTCATGTGTCGAACAAAGGGTGTACTTCGTTCGAAGGCTCCAAAGAAGGAGTCAAGCATCAATTAAGGAGAGGCTATTCGAGAACTTCAAAAAAAGAGACCTCGTGGAAGGCTCTTTGGTGTACTTTGTTTGAGGAAATGATGGTTAATGATTATTAAGAGTAGTCCCACGTTGGCTAATTAAGAGGATGATTATGGGTTTATAAGTAAGGAATACATGTTCATTGGCATAAGGCGTTTTGGAAAACCAAAAACAAAATCACGAGAGCTCAAAGTGGACAATATCATACCATTGTGAAGATCCGTGATTTCTCACCTCGAGGATGGCATGAAGCAATGACTAGCGGGTGAAAAGATCACAAACCAAGGAAGGAAAGCAAAGAAAAAAGAAGCCAGCCCACAACAAAAGAGCCTGTTAACAATCAATAACACCCAGGATAATTACAGGACTCTTTGCAAGCAAAGTCCACTACTCATACCTCTCCCATGCCTCTCGACATCTCATCTCTAAATGAGCTGATTCCAGAACGGCCGAAATCGATCACAGGACAACTGAATACGATCACAGTGTTGCACTTCTCCTGAATATGACCTTCCCAGCAAAAAAAAAAAAGACAAAAATAATCTTCTTGGAAATTCTTCTCTTCATGTTCGTTATGACCTTCCAAGAACTACAAGAAAATCCCTTCATAGGAGAGGCACCACAAACAGATATCTATGTTCTATTCAAGGAAAGTAACAGAGAAGCCTTCTCTGTGATACTCTCTTCTTTTGGTATCAAAAAGTACAGATTTTCTCTCCTTATACCAATTATCATCACTCTCCAACTCCACAAAATGCTTCCCTTCCAATGAGATGGAAAAACATGCTACAACAGTTTCTTGTTTTGTACTAGAACACTTCACAGACATCTACATGTTCATTGAAAACAGCAGAAGATTCCACAGAAATCGATACATTTCAGAATGCACGCCCGATCCGAGCCCCAAATATATCATCTCTATAACCCATAGGAAAAAGATATGCAGAGGTTAGAAGCACCAAAATTCTTATCTCTCACTAAATTTCAACTTCATCATTAGCTCGTCGTACATAAATTCCTTCCTAACTTCAAAAAGGCTCTGTTTTAGTTTAGACAAAGTTGAATGTTTCAAAATGATACCTCTATCAATCATCTCATTAGCATACTTGACTGCTTCTGGCAACCTCCTTTGATCTTGGAGCCCTACAATCAAGAAATTACCAATCTCTTCAAGATCAGATTCATAAATTTTAACCATACATTTCCATACTTTTATGGCTCCATTTGGGTCTTCATTTTCAATGTAAATCCTGACTGCTGCTTTACAATTAGCATGGCTTGGAACAAACTCATTTTTAACCATTTCATCAAATATACTTGAAGCCTCTCTCAATTTCTTTTCCTTTAACAAGAACCGAAATAACAAATTGTAAGTTTCCAAATTCGGGAATGCTCCATAAGATATCATCTCATCTAACAGCCTTCTCGCTGCATCAGCGTCGTTTTGATGGCAACATAGAACAATCATCGAATTGTACATATGTGTATCGGGCTGAAAATTAATACTCTCTATGATTTCATTCCAAAGATACTTCCCCGCTTTGACATCGCGATTCTTCGCACACTCATCAAGGGCAAGCTTGAAAAACTTAAATCCCGGATAGCACATCTTATCTTTCAATCTCTTGAAGAACATCAATGCCTCGTGCAGCCCATTGGGGTCCTTGAGCAATAAACATAAAAAGGAATTATAAGCAGGGGTATTGGTGGGATCCCAACCAATCTGTTCTATCATCTCTACAAAGGTTTGTCTGGCACAGACTATATTTCCTTCACTTTCCCATCCTTCTAATACAATGGCATAAGAATCAGGGTCAGGCCTAATTTTACCTTTCGCTATCTGCAAAAACTCATCAGCATCCTTGGTGTTTCCATCCCTACATATAGCACTTAGAAGTGAATTCAATGCCACTACATCACGAGGACAACCATAAAGATCCATAACCTCAAATGACACAATGGCATCCTTAACACGATTAGCAACTATATAACTACTAAACACAGAAGCAAAAGTAGCCAAAGAAATCAACCCTTCGTTCTTCATCGATTTCATAGCATCCCACATTGGTTCAAAATGTAAATTCTTACCCAACATGTCGACGATCAAATTCCACGCATAAGGACTGTGTTGGTCGTTGAGTTTCCGGCCAGACCACCGGAAGAACTTCATGGATGATCCCGGAAACTTGTAAGATAATTTCAGAACGTCCTCCACATCTTCTCGACTAACCTGAACACCGGTCTCTTCCAGAACGATTTCGAGATCAATCGATGAGGCGTTGGCGATAATTTCACACAGTAATTTAATTTTGAAGGGCAAATTAGGGAAGTCGAGATACGAAACGAAATGTGGGGTTTTGCTCCTCGACGGTTCCGGTGAGGGATTGTTGAACCGAGCGTGAGAGATTGAGGTTGAGCGAGTGGGAGTTCGAGCAGAAGAAGGGGAAGATGAAGATTGATGCTTCTTGCTTCGTTGGTGGCCATTGTCGGAGAGTCGTCTTTTGTTGTTCTCTCCCATGAATGTAGGAAATATTAGGAGAGTGAAAAGCTGAACAACACGGAGAGACCAGAATCAGAGAACACAGCGATGGCGATTGTCAGTCCACTGTAAATCCATCGAACAAAAATTGAATTTCAGTTGTTTTAGGGTTTGGTGGGGAAGAACTGAAACAGGGAAGAAGCTAAAAGTAATTAAGAAAAAAATGATATTATAAATAATTGAATTCAAGTATCAATATGGATGGGGATTTTTACCTGCGAAAAATAAGATTTTACCATTTTACCGATTTTTTTTTAACTTTTGTAACGTTATAAGTTAAATTAGGGCTCATTAAGTATGATTCCAATTTACCCACATGCCCGATGAGGGGAGAGATTCTTCGTTTAGACCGGTAATAAGAACGAGAGTAGAGAACATTTTTTCTCAGTTAAATAAATGGAGTCGGGATAGATTATATTGTTCATATCTGTCACCAACCTTACTTAAAATAAATATATTTTCAATATATATATAATTTTAAAACTCTAATAGGTAATATTTAAACTATGATATTAAAATTAAATTTTTTTAAAAGTTATATGGAAGTTTTTCACACTCTTATAAACGGTGGTTTGTTCTCCTCCCAAATCAACTTTGGACATCACAATCCACCCCCTTCGGGTCTACCGTCCTCGCTGGCACTCTTTCCTTCCTCCTATTGATGTGGGACCGCCCCCAAATCCACCCTCCTTTGGGGTCCAGCGTCCTTACTGGCATACCACCTTGTGTCTACCCCCCTTCGGGAAACAGTGAGAAGGCTAGCACATTGTCCAATGTCTAGCTCTGATACCATTTGAAACGGCCCAGATCCACTGCTAGCAAATATTGTTCTCTTTGGACGGGGACATCCGATAAAATTGAAACAATACAGAGAAGATTAGCATGGCCCCTGCACAAGAATGACACGCACAACTCGAGACCATAACACATGTATAAGATAATGGTATTTATTTTCTTAGACTTAGTCAAGAATAAGATAGTTTTTAACTTAAACTCTTATTCATTTTATTTAGTTTTTTCAAGGCTGTGTTTTAAGATAAAGGTTACGTTTTATGAAATTTAAATGAAGTCTTCCGAATTCAATGTTTATAATACGTATACAGTAGCGACCTTAAATTAAGTAGAAAATTTTGGGTCGTTATCGGGTTTGGTTATGAAATATATTTGATTTATTATGATTTTTTTTAATAAAATATTATATTGAAAGTTTAAAATTTTTAAATGACTATTTTTAAAAAAAAATAATAAACGGAGAAAAATCACTTGAGGAGTCCTAGCTCCCGATCCTCGCAAAAATGATTAGAGAATTTCGCGGAAATAGAAAATGAAATAGGTAGCGGAGATGGAAACGAGGAAGGATTCTTCGTCTTCACCCCTCCCGTGAACATCTCTAACACGAAAATTTATACCTTTTTATTTCTCTCCTTACTTTTATTTATTTATTTCTATTCTTATTTCATAACCCAAAAAAAAACATAAAATAGTAAAAAAATTAATGAAAAAAAAAAATCGATCTTACGAAAGTTTCAATTCAAAGCAGTCTCATCTATACTAATTCTAATCTCGAAACTTACTTAGTTTACTTTAAAATATCACAATCAATTCTTATTATCTTATTAACGGAGCACTGTAGCGTTTTATATTAACTCAATAACAGCATTAAGTGGGCACTGTAGTGATATTTTATTAAATTTTATCGATTGAAATGTCAATTCACCTCTTGTATTGATAAAATTCTAAACATTATTCTTAACGGATCATAATCGTTAAAGGCTACGCATTATTTTAACCCAATTAGTTTTGAAAAGTTTAATTAAAATGATCAAATTGAGTTGAATTAAATGAATAAAAATGAGAAATTTTTTTAAAAAAAATAAATAATAGCATTATAATATAAGGTTTTAGGTAGATGAAAGTATGCCAATAAATAAGCCAAAGTTAAGTGAAGTGGATTCATATCACATCACATCTTGATCTAAAGTAATAATAAGATCTTTACCTTCTACAATTCTTTAATAAAAGTGATGACATACAAATATTCAACTTACCACATAACTTCAAAAGTATATGATATATATATATATTAAGACAAAAACGGTAACGGCCTAGATCCACCGCTAGCAGATATTGTCCTCTTTAAGCTTTCCTTTTCGGGCTTTCCCCTCAAGGCTTTAAAATACCCTTATAAATGGTGGTTTGTTCTCCTCCTCAATTCACCCTCTTCGGGGCCCAGCGTACTTGCTGACACTCTTTCTTTCCTCCCATCGATGTGGGACCACCCCCAAATCCACTCCCTTTAGGGCCAGCGTCCTCACTGGCACACTGCCTCGTGTCTACCCCTTTCAGGGAGCAGCGAGAAGACTAGCACATCGTCTGGTGCGTGGCTCTAATAATACCATTTATAACAGTCCAGATAGCTAGTAGATATTGTCCTCTTTGGACTTTCTCTCTCGGGCTTCCTCTCAAGGCTTTAAAACACGTTTGCCAGAGAAAGGTTTCCACACGTTTATAAATGGTGGTTTGTTCTCCCCAACCAATGAGGAACATCACAAAAACGTGATTACATGTCGAAGAAAATGAATAAAAAAAAAAGACTTTCTATTATTAAAAAGGAAAAAAAAAATTGAATTACATGTTACTTATAAAATATTAAAAAGAAATTAAGGACGGTCGGATATTTTCCAACTTTTAATTTCATTAAATAAGACTTATTTTTTGTTTTGCATATTTGACATTTTATTATAAGCAAAATCTCGTATGATTTAAGGATATTTAGTTTTTCATTACGTTCTACCAATATTTGACTTTTTATTATAGACGAATATCATGTACGTTCTTTCTATTCTCTTTGTAATTGATTTGATTCTGTAAATGACTATAAAAAAAGAATTTCACCTCGAGTTAGGTGCGGTGGTTTTAGCAAATATTCTCATAAAAAATAGTACATGAATGAATCGATCACATCTAAATGAGAGTGACCATGACTATACGATAACTAAGAAATGTCTGAAAGAATTGAAAGTCACTACTCGTACCAATAAGGTGCATCTTCTTTTTCGGTAGCTCAATCATAATTTTCACTCTTAAGAAAATATAAATAACGTGACCATGTTGCAAAAGAAGTCGAAAAATGTCGTGATCATTACGTACCAAATTCGGATCCAGTTGAAACTAAATATTTATTTAAATTTTATTAATGGTATTTTAAAAAGAGATTAGAAATATTTATTTATTTTTTTTCATCACCGACAGACCAAATGGGGGGAATGGAATCTGATTCGGGTCAATGGAAGTGGGCGATTTGGATCACATGCTCCCAACACAAATGCCTTCAAAACATTTGTTCTTTAATACCCATCATTATCACATTAGGTAACCTTTACATATAATGCTCACACGCACGTACTTGATTTAGATCTGTCAGACGAACACGACTCTCCACAATGGTATGATATTGTCCACTTTGAGCATAACCTCTCATGGCTTTGCTTTGGGTTTCCCTAGAACGCCTCAAACCAATGGAGAGAGAATTTTTTGTTTATCCAACAAGATGAACACAAATAACAGTACACAGAAAGTCAAAAGAGGAATATTGGCTATAACTTTAACGTCTTTTACTATACATTATGTCATTTACCATATATAGTTTTACTATGTATAACCATTGAATAACCGGTAAATAAGCAGTAGACTCCATAATCCAACAAACAACAGAAGGGTATGTTTTGTTTCTTGATAGGTCAACTTAATTTTTTAAAAAAACAAATCGACAAACAACTTTGTCCTTCCTGGCTACGTATTAGAAAGCAGAAACGAGCCACATGCAGATAAACTAATAAAATTGATATTATTGAACAACCGAGAGGACATATGATAAAATAAATAATTCAATTATATGAACCAAACTTTTGTACATATGTTATTAGATTTTTGTTTATTGTATGTAGCCAAAGTCTAAGCATAAAGGGGACATGAAATTATTTTAATGAATTATTTGGCTAAAGTCTAAACACGAAGTAAGGGAGGAAGGAGACCAATATGTAACACGTTACAAAATATTAATATCGGAATCTCACTTTATTACAAAATATTCATCTCGGACTCTTATTCTTAAAAATTCTAAAAAAATAAAATTTATTAATTATTAAAATTGTATCGAACCTTAAAAAAAATATCTAATGAATCTCTAAACTATTAACTAAATAAATAAAATTTTTATGAGTTAAGTCTCTCGGTTCCCTTAAAATTAATTTTTATTAAATTTTTAAATCTTAGTAATTTAATTTTAAAAAATATATATGGATTAAGGGGTAGATTTTAATTAAGATTTTACTTTTATTATTAAAAAAAAAGTTAATTGACGACTGGAACCAATTCAATTCAATTCAAATATTTTATAGTCGATTTGGGTTAGGTTTATTAGTTTCAAAAAACGTTGTTTCACTTGAAAAAAATTACATAAATAATTAGATTATGTTTTTTTAAAAAAAAATCTCAAACTCAACCGGGCTCAATCATATAAATATCATTTAAAATTTAGTTTGAAGTTATTGAATAAAATTTAAAATAAAAAAAAATATAAAACTGTGTTAGATTATAAGAGATGTGAATCTGTTTACCCGACATATTTCTTATATTTCTTGAGTGTTCGAGTTTATTTAATATTTTTATATTTTGTTTTTAAAATGGAATATTCACTATTATTTTTGTTTTAATTTGGAATCTCTTTCCCTTTAGATTTGGTTCATCTTTGTGAAAAAAATAAAAATAAAATAAAAAAGTAAAAAAGTAAAAAGTGTATTATCATTAGTCATTAACTTGTTCCACTAAAGTTGTTCGACTTAGTCGCTAATTATGATATAATTATAAGTTTGGAATAAATATTTATCGACGTAAATAAAAAAATGTTAAAAAAGATAAGTTTTTAAAAAATGTATTTGTATTTAGGTTTAAACGGCGTATTTCACGTTTTTTATATTAAAAATTAAATATATATTTTAAATAGTTGAATCCCGTTAAAATTAGCTATATGATGTTGGTGTGAAACTAATAAAATTAACGACCTAACTCTAGGAGAAACAAAATTAAAAGTTCATAACTCGGATCAAACTTATATTCTAATCAAAATGATAAACAATATCACAGGATCTGGTTGAAACCAATATATATCTTAACTCACCCAGCTATTAATTACGGTATATATCTTACACTAAGAGATCAGGAGATGGAATCTTTATTTGTAATTAACTATTGTTAGTTTGGTTCCTTTAATTGGTTCATGTTCTTGTATTTATTCGTGTTGAATTAGCCTTTTGTTATTCAATCTCTTGTTCTCTCGGAGGCGCGCGCACGCATAAGAACCATGAGCCCTCTGGTTTGATATGAAATTTGATTCCATTTTGAAGGTAAAGCAAGTGAGCTACCCCATATTCACCAATTCCAAGAGGGGCCTAAACGATGGCTGCAATTCATTCTTCCATTTCTTTGATTGATGTTCATCAGTTCATATTCTCCTCCCACCATTGAAGCAAAGCTAAAGCAGGCTTCAATTCTTTCCACTTTTCTATCTCTTTTTGCACTTCTCTTTGTGGGAATCTGTGATTTTGGGTTCTTTGTTTTTTGGGTTTTTTTCGATTTCTGTGATTTCTTTGAGATCTGCTTCAAAATGGGTTTCTCCCTTTGTACTTGTTCTAACCCAAGGGGATCCCCTCTTGCGTTAGATCATCACCATTGTCAGTATAATGAGGTAAACATTAGAACCCTTTTGAGAAAAATGATTTGGGAACGTGGGTTTGCGTGTATTCTTCCTCCTGCTCGTTTTCGCCGCAAGAATCAGGGGATTCAAGATGATGAACACCCAAATGTAGAAGGAAAAAACGAGAATCTAGAGCATAATAACGCATGGTTGCTAGCGGAATCTGGTGGTTGCGGTGGGGAGTTGTTTAATTCTGATCCTCAGTCGGTTCATTCATCTTTTCGATTCAGTTTTTGCTCTCAGATTGAGCTTGAAACTATGAACATCGCTTCTTCTACACCTCCGGCGACTGTTTTGATGGTGAATTTAGATAATGGAATGATGGCTGAAGCTCTCAACAAAGAATTAAAATGGCGGAGGATTGAATCGCTTGAAAAGAGCATTTCCCCTGTGGCTCATACCTTGATTAGATTCAGCTTCCGGGAAATTCTTTCTGCAACACGTAATTTCTCAACAGGTACTCTCAAAATCAATGACCCTTTTCGCTTCTAAACCAAAATTTTGTTATGTAATATTGAAGTTTCTTCAATGTTGTTGAATGTGGTAGGCAGAGTTCTTGGAAGAGGGGCATTGAGCTGCGTGTTCAGAGGGAGGGTTGGGTTTTTGAGAACTTCTGTGGCCATCAAACGTTTAGACAAGGAAGATAAAGAATCAACGAAGGCATTCTGCAGAGAGTTGATGATTGCTAGCTCTCTTCAGAATCCATTTATAGTTCCTCTTGTTGGGTTCTGCATAGATCCAGAAGAGGGTTTGTTTTTGGTTTATAAATATGTTTCTGGTGGAAGTTTAGAAAGACATTTGCATGGTATGCGTTCTTGTTCTTGTGTTCTTGATTGCTTGAAATTTAGTGAGTTTTTTGAGATTCTAACAGGATAGCCATTGCAGATAAGAAGAAGAGGGGAGTGAGGGGTGGCTTGTCACTTCCTTGGTCGGTGAGATTCAAGATTGGTATTGGAATTGCTGAGGCTGTAGCATATCTTCACAATGGGACTGAAAGATGTGTGGTTCATAGAGACATTAAGCCTTCAAATATCCTTCTTTCATCCAAGAATATGCCAAAGGTGAAAGAATTTTGTTGATTTTGTTCGGATATTCGTTTGGTTGTTTGATGTGCAACGAAGGAAAGAGATAAGGTAGGAAAATAGAGTGTGAGATCCCACGTCGGTTGGAGAGGAGAATGAAGCATTCCTTTTAAGGGTGTGGAAACCTCTCCCTAGTAGAAGTGTTTTAAAATCGTGAGGCTGATGACGATACGTAACGGGTCAAATGAGACAATGTCGGCTAGTGGGGGGGCTTGGACTTTTACAAGTGGCATCAGAGCTAGAAATCATGCGGCGTGCCTGCCTCCAAGGGGATGGATTGTGAGATCCCACGTTGGTTGGAGAGGAGAACGAAACATTCTTTATAAGGATGTGGAAACCCCTCCCTAGTAGACCCGTTTAAAATCGTGAAGCTGATGATGATACGTAACAGGCCAAAACGGACAATGTCTGCTAGTGGGGGGCTTGGACTGTTACAAGTGGTATCAGAGCTAGATACCGAGCGGTGTGCTAGCGAGGACGTTGGGCCCTCTAGGGGGGTGGATTGTGAGATCCCACATTGGTTGGAGAGGAGAACGAAACATTCTTTATAAGTGTGTGGAAACAAAACCGTGCGGCTGATGACGATACGTAACGGGCCAAAGTGAACAATGTCTCCTAGCAGGGGGCTTGGACTGTTACAAGTGGCATTAGAGCAAACACTGGGTGGTGTGCCAGCGAGGACGCTGGCCCCCAAGGGGGTGGATTGTGAGATCCCACATCGGTTGGAGAGGAGAACGAAACATTCCTTATAAGGGTGTGGAAACCTCTCCCTAACAAACGCGTTTTAAAACCTTGAGGGAAAGCCAAAAAAGGACAATATCTGCTAGCGGTAGGCCTGTGTTCGAAAGAAACGAATCAAGTCAACACTCAAAGATAATCTAAATGATCTCTTTTAATAAGTCTAATTACCAAATGTTAACCTTTGTTCTTATTCATCAATTGCTTGCAGTTATGTGATTTTGGGTTAGCAACATGGACTTCTGCTCCATTCGTGCCTTTCCTTTGCAAAACTGTCAAAGGAACATTTGGGTATGAACTCATTCTTGAGATATTCTAACGTAGGGGAAGGACGACGAGAATCTCTCGCCTTCCACGTTCGTGTTCCTTTTCGATTTACAATTTTCGATCTCATTTGTAGTTACCTAGCTCCAGAGTATTTCCAGCACGGGAAAGTATCAGATAAAACAGATGTCTACGCTCTAGGAGTCGTGTTATTGGAACTCATAACGGGCAGGAAACCGATCGAAGCAAGAACACATGGAGAGGAGAACTTGGTTCTATGGGTAAGTCATTATATCACTCTAATGACTTCATCTAGTTTTGTTGGACTAGTGATTCTGTTCTGCACAAAGTCGTATGTAATAGAACATGACTATGCTCGTCAGTTACCTTTGTAAACGAGCTAAAACAGGTCTCTCTATTGGTTCGCCTTTCGTCTCCGCTTCGAATATTCTAGTATCATATAATTAGCCAAATCGTGAAGCACAAACAGAACCACCTTTGTACCGCTAACTATTATAGGAGTTCCCGATCTCGCATCCAAGTTGATATAATGTGATTCATATATCGAACTGTACTCCACGAAACCGTTCATTGGTGCAGTCTATAGTAGATGTTGTAATTGTCCTCATAACTTCAAAAAACTTCATATTTTCGTTCAGGCAAAGCCATTATTGCAGAAAGGGAAAGCAGCGATTACCGAGCTGCTCGATCCACTGGTAGCATGCACGACGAAGAATTCGAATCAAGTAATTCAAATGATTGAAGCTGCAGCTGCCTGCATTACCAGTGAAGAATCGCGCAGGCCCGGGATCTTAGAGATCATTGCAATATTGAAAGGTGAAGAACAGCCTATGCCCTCCAGATCAAAGAGGTCAGGTTTCTTGGGGCATGGATGTGTCACTGATAGCTATTCTCAGTTTCAAAATACGAACAGCGAGATGATGACGGGTCATTTGGCGTTGGCCATGGCGGGACTAACCGAGTTCGAACAAGATGATTACCTCTTCTGTCGTTAAAAAGGTTACAAAAACATGCGATGAGGTACTGAAATAAGGAGAGTGGTTTTGTTGGCTGAATCAATAAGATTAGAGTATTGAAAGAGTGGTGAGACTGTAAATAGGCTCATTTTGTACAGAACACTTCCATGTATTTTTCCCCATTTTCCATGGAGGAAATATTATTAATCTTCACTGAAAGATTCATGTGTTATACTATATGGTAGGGAAATCTAAAGTTTTATATTTAGTAGATCACTCTCTAAACTCGTGTTATATAAACTAGAAATGTATTCTTTCTATGGAGAGGGGAACGAAACATTTTTTATAACGGTATCAAGCCCATCACCCCCAACGGACAGCGTGTCAGCCTCCCCAATGTTAGACGAACACTACTCTCCACAATGGTATGATATTGTCCACTTTGAGCATAAGCTCTTATGACTTTGCTTTGGGCTTCCCCAAAGTACCAATGGAGTTAGTATTCCTCACTTATAAACCCATGATCACACCTAAATTAGTCCCTACAATGATTCTTGTATAAAATTTTACCTTATACAATTAAGATTTTCAAGCTCAAACATATGGTTTTGGATGAATTATTGATGGTTTTGGATGAATTATTGTGAAGAAGTGGTTGGTTGAGACAGATTCAAAGAAGTTGCAGCTTAACATCCAAAACAATATTTCCATTATGCAAAATGTTCCAAACAAGAACGACAAGAAAGATACATTTTTAAGAAAAAGAAGAAGAAAGAAACATAAACAGAACAAGAAATCAAACAAACAAAAAGAAGCGTGTAAAAACATTATCTAGAAAATCTTTGCAACATCCTTCACTAATCCACGGTTGGCAAGGGCGAAATTTGTGAATTCTTCATACGAAATGAACCCGTCGCCATCAGTATCGATCTCGGCCATCATCCTATGAACTTCGTCGTTGGTAACAGAGCCAAGTGTTTTCAATGATTCCCCGAGCTCGGTTGAAGAGATCTTACCGTCACCATTGGTATCAAAACGCTTGAATATACGGTCACGGTCAGCTTTGTCTTGAGCATCATCAGACATTATGATGTATCAAAAAAGCTTTGTGGTTTGAGGAATTGGTGAGTGGAGACAGAGAGAATTTTGAAGAAGATGGTGAGTTATATAAAGAGCAGAGTTTATGGAGATTAAGGTGATCCTCAAATGTCGGATCATAGAGTTCAGATGGCCAAAAGAATGAAGAACTTGCAACTAATTGTGCCTAAATTATGATTTTATCATCACAGAAACATTCCAAATCACCGAGGAAAAAGAAATGTAGAACTCGCAATTAATTTTCCTCCTCAATCATCTCAATATTCTAATTCGTACTTACGGATTTGATCCAGCCCTGGCGTGGCGGTCTTTCCTTCCAGAGATTTCTCAACAGAAATCGAAATTGAAGGAGAGAGCTCGGTGAAGTTGTTTCCGCCGTTTGTTGCAGCGGCGGCAATCAAGGTATTCCGTCGCCGGCACTGATGCAAGCGCTCGCATTACGGCCTGGAGTTTCTTCACCGGCGTTTCGATAGACTGGAATCGGCCAGCCGCGGCCGGGTAATCCGGCCGATTCTTTGAGCAAATCGGTAGGAGATCAGCGCAGATGGCGGAGACATTGATGTAGAGTTCGAGTTCAATCACATCGAGTGTAGTAATCTAGCTGATCTTGAGATTCAGCCAGCGGCGGCGACCTCTCAGTATTAGATCTTGATCCAGTGGCTCTGGCGAACTCCAATGAAATCGTTAGGGTTCGTCCCGGTTCATCCATGTTTGAATGCACCCTAGAATCTTCGGTTGTTCTAACCGAGCTAACTAGTACTGTGTACTGCGTGTTCAAGCCTCTAATCACATTTAAGAGAAATATATTTGAAAAAATAAAAATAATTTTTTTTAAAAAAAAAGCAATTTTATAAGCTAAAAGCGGCTTTAATAACCTACAACTCGAGTAAGAGAAAGAGACAACTAGTCATATCTCCTATAGTAAAATTCTAGGTCATTTTAGACAATTCAGGTGTAGACATGATTTTGATGGACGGTTATACACACACCTTGGACAAGCATGACCATACATTTGGCACACTCACACTCGACGTTGATCGCACACTCACAAGATAACTTGTCATATCGATCCATCAAATTCTAAACAAACGTCACATACCTTTCAACTGATCTTCACTTTTTTTCTCTCTATCTTTATATATAAACTAAGCGAAAAGGCTAAACACTTTCAAGTATCGATGTAACTATGGAAAAGAAAAGATAAGTGTTCTATCACGTTAGACATTGCTTAAAGATGAAGAAAAAAGAGAACGAATAAAATTTAGAATTCTTTTATATATCATGATGTCAAGTTCATATTCCAGAGTATCTATCACATATCACTTTATATACATGAGTACACGTCATGAGTATAAATATATTATTTAAAATAGCTGAACCAAAAGCGTATACCAAAAATAAAAGTAATCATATTTCTGAGAGACTTTCGATTAATTTATACCTAAAACTCTAATATTCTTCCATCTCCTTTTTTCTTTAGTTCTTCGTTGATTAGATTTCAACTTTTTCCCTTTATGAATAACTTTAATCTTCAACCATATAACGAGAAGAATAAAACAGCTCATATTACACGTATGATATTAACCGCTACCTAACCAGATATTTATTGTTATTGTTTCTTATATAAAAAGTATTTCTTTCAATAAACGTAGATTTTTTAAACGGTTTAAAAAGACAGCAAAAAGTTCTCAATGATAACCCGATATAAAATGACCCAAAAAAAATCCGAGAGTGAATATATGACAGTGATTGTATGACACTTATTGTAATTTAGCAAACAAGTCAATCTTGTTGGATGATGGGGAATGATCATGAGTTTATAAATAAAGAATACTCTCTCCATTGGTACGAGGCCTTTTGGGGAAGCCTGAAACAATGTCATGAGAGTTTATGCTCAAAGTGGATAATATCATATCATTGTAGAGAGTCATGTTCATCTAACAGATGTAACTTTGAAAACAATGACCTATGGTCGAACCTCAAAGTTATGTAGTAAAGAATGGATAATGTGACGATGACGTGACAAAACCCGTCAACTACCAAAAGAAAAAAAAAAGGAAGAAAAATGAAATAATAGGGAATTATTATTGATCTAATCTAAAGTCTTTTCAAACTCTTTTAATTATGATATCTATGAGGTTAATTGGATGAATGAATGATATTAATTTAATGGGAAATGGGTATTAACTCTTAATCCTCTTCAAACTTTATGCTTTCCAAAAGAGATTAACTTCAAGATTGCAAAAAGGTTGATTTGAAAGGATGCCGAATTATTTGCTCGTTGCTTTACCTTTAATGTTGTTTTGACGTTAAATGTGATATCTAAGTAAATGAGCAGATCACATTCGAATGAGAGCGATTTTAAGGATAGGATGACTAAGAAAAACTTAGCAAATTAAAGTTACTACCTCGGTTAAAAAGGTGCACCTTCTTGAGTGGCTCAATTATATTGGGTGGCGTTTTAAGAATTTTTCTTAAATGTATGTAAGTGAAGACAAAATATGTTGGAATGATTTGTGTTGGTCTGTGGAGATAGTTTTTGTTCTTAAACGGCGAGGAGTAAGTAACGTAACTATGTTGCAGGGAAATGTTGGGCCATCAAATTCCGAATTTTGGGCTTGAGTCGTTACATTAAATTTAAGCCTTTATTCCCGAGATTGGTACATTAAATTCTCCAAAGTCATTACATTAAGTTACTTACTTCTTGCTTCTAGGAGTGAAAACTATCCCCACATACCAATGATCCTTTTAGCATCATTTGTCCTGACCCCCGTGCATTCTAGGAGATTATCCATCATAGAATTGTTTCCAGCCAAACATGTTTAACCATTACGTTCCTATAATTGAACCATCGAGAAAGAAGGTGCATCTTGGGTATCCTATCTGTTGGATAAAAGTCCCACATCGGTTAATTTAGGGAATGATCATAGGTTTATAATCAATGAATACTCTCTCCAAAGCAAAGCCATGAGAACTTATACTCGAACTAGACAACCATCATCAAAAAGGAAATAAATAGCATCTAGACCGCATGGCTTAGGACAGACAATGCATTTATTAATTTATTTTGTACTACCTATTTGTCAAACATGTAATCTTATTAAATACGTATATAACATAAAGTTTTCAAACATAACAATCTTAAACTATGAAACTATAGTTTAAATTTCATAAACAAATAATATCCAATCAACCAATAACATTGAAATTAAAATTAAATCAAAGAGGAATGGCACACTTAGGAAAATACTTTCATAATTTCTTACATTTCTTGAAGAATTAAGGCTCACCATATTTATTGTAAGAAGGCAACCCCAAAAATATAGTCATTAATCCACCCTTCAAATACAAAGGCAGCAAAAAAAAAAAAAAAAAAAAAAAAAAAAAA